GCTGGGGGATTGAACTGCGGTCCCTGTGCTTTGCTAAGCTTGTTCTGAGTAGGTGCTTTAGACCACTGAGCCATCTCACCAGCCCCTATTCTACTTTTTCTAACTCTGGCTAGGAGCGGAAGCTGTGTGCCCACCCTCGGCTAGAGATCTACCAGCAAGATCATATCCACTTTATGTGCCCACTGGCACGACAGGGAGATTTCTATGTGCCAGAGGTGAAGGAGACAGAGCGGAAATGCCGGGATCTTGCGGAGGCCAGTGATACCCACATGGATGGTACAGGTATAGAATGGGGAAATGAGGGTAGGACCCTGCAGGGCGCCCCTCTTCTGGATACCCAACAGCATGGTTGAGGCAGCTTCTCTGTATTGGCACTGTGTCAGGCATGCTGACACTCCTGTCCCAAGACCCACATGCAGAGTTGTTTGCTCCCAGATGCATAGTTCCACACAGCTATGGTTTCACACATTCCCTTGGCAACACAGATACATAAAGCCCCTGTTTGGATGTCCTCTAGATACATCAGGAGTACCCTGGTAAACACAGATCACGGACAGTTGGATGCTTATGGGGCTGATGCAGCTCAGGAGAGAGTCTCTTGGGGAGGTCTCACCAGGAAGTAGTATTGGCACTGGATCTGGAAGATACAGAGGGGGACGAGGTGTTCCCCTGTCCCTCACCAGGGGACCCCAACAGCACTAACTGCCTTCTCCTACCTCACCACCAAAGCCAGCCCATGCTTCTGCTGGCAGCCACAGCGCCCCAGATCCAGGGCAGCAGGCTATTCATGTGCCCCCAGCCCATCTCCAGTCATAACTTTTTGTGACCCCAGGCTGTTGCCAGTGGTTCTGGGTTGGGGGACAGTCCTTGGCTACCCTGGATGGACCCTTTGTCACTCTTAAAGTGCATGATTTCTAAGAATGGTACGGAGCTGTAAGGGGAAGGACTGTCCCTTCTCCTGTTTCTCTAGGAGACTTTTTGCCCATCCAGTCTTCAACAGCCAAGGTCACCCTAGAGAGAGACATGTGTTGGCAGGAGTTGGTGGGGGAAGGGTGCTGGGAGGCAGTCTCCTCTCCCTAGGGGCCTGTGTCCAACATAGTTAACTTCATCTGCTCCTTTAATTACCTCCATGGGGTACTAGTCCCTTCTGCTTGGTAATGCCCGGCAGACACACTCTTCAGTGCTCCTACTGTGGGCACAGGACATGACACAAGGTCGGCAGACCTAGGCAGCCTCCAGGACAGGAAGGAGGAGTACCTTGACCTTCTATGACTTCCCCCTGCTGCCTGACTGCACCCTCCTTGACACACTCACTGTTTCCTTTCCTCCCAAACACGGCCTGCTAGGAGTGTTGAGGGACTGCTTGGCACCTGCTAGAGCTGGCTGCAGCTGCAGCTTCCATACCCTCCAGCTCCCCGGCCTGTCCTCCCCACCAGCCTGCCCACCCACTCCCTAGTGCGAGTGCTGAAGGTCTGTCCACCCCTGACAGAGCCTGTCTTGACACCCGGGGCGGACTCTGGGCATCTGCCAGGTGCATGCCACTTAGCAGGGCATAGTGGGTGCATGGCCACCCAAGGCTTGTCCTGTCCCTGTTTGCCTCCCTGCTGGGCTGTGGCTTGGGCTGGAAGGTGAAAGGGGGTGATTAGTTGCCTTGTGCCTGTTATTACATTGATGTATTATTTAGCTCCAGAGAAGCGATAAATATTTGATCTCTTTTCACTGGCTCTAGGCAGAGGGGGAGGAACTGGGGTAAAGTTGGTAGCTTCATATCCTCTGATCAACAGCCCTGGGGATTTAGGTGCTACCTTGCCTTTCCTGGTACCCTCTCCTCAGAGATAAGCATCAAGGCACTGGGACTTCCTCCTGTGTGTACTTTAGTGGGGCTGTAGGGTTGCCACTCCCAACCTTTAGCTTCTTTATCACAAGTGTCTGGGATTCTCTTCCTCCCAGGATGCTGAACCCTGGGCTGAAGGAGGCACCTCTGGGCTTCTTACTTTGATTACTTCTAGCTCAGGATTGGTGATGGAGACATCCAACTGGGAAGCGGACATCTCTAGAATCATTGGGTAGATGATCCCTTACCTTTATGATGTTCCACAGGAATATCTTCATATACCCTGAAGGAAGGGTGGCACATTGTGGGCTGACAGAATTTAGCTCACAGCCTCTGGGACACTGATTGTTCTGAGCAAGGAGCTGGAGCCCTGCCCTGGGAGCTTAGCCCAGGATACCATTGCACCGTGTTAGCATACCTCTGTATAGAAGCCATACCTGGGGGCCGCCAGCAAGAGGGCTCTGGGCAGCAGGTTGGCACCTTCAGGACTCACCTCCCTCTTCCACTAAGATCCAAGAGGGCATCTTCTGGGGCAAGTAGGCTGGGGAAGCAGGTCTCAAATTCCTTCACTTTCAATGTAGACCCCTACTGAGGTTCAGGGACAGCTCCAGGCCAGTCCAAATGCAAAGCAGTCCCTAGATGTGTTTGGCTTTGGGCTCTATCACCATGACAGCAGGAACTGGGGAAACTGGCCCATCCCTCACCTTTATGATATGCCACAGGAAGGGTGGCACATTGTGGGCTGCACTCTCTTCTTCCTTGCTACCTTGTAGCTGCATTCAGTGCCTCTGATTTGGAGAGGTGAATGGAGGGGTTGCTCCTAGTGAGGAAAGATGGAGGGCCACTTACTGGGTTGGTGAAATAGGTCAGGGAGGCTACCTGGGCCATCAGCTGGCTCAGCACTGTTTTGGGTTGCCTCAGTCACCAGCTTCTTTTTCGCTGCTTTGTAGTGCAGGAAACAGCAAGTAGCTAAGGCAGGGGTTGTTGAGGTGGGTAAAGGTTCCTCTGGGTTGAGCCAGGCATGGGGGAGAAGGTCTTTGAAATGTTTCATCCCAGAAACATTTTTTGTGACTGGCTAAGTGCTAAGACTTCTCTGTCTTTGTGCCTCAGACCCCCTCTTAAGTGTGGAGACTCACGGTGGCCATAGGGAGGGACCAGCTGACTTCCTGGATATAGCTGTTCCTTTGAGACGCCTGCGTGGGGGTGGGGCCTGGAGAGACCTCCTGGTCCATTCTCGGGTCCTCATGCCTAAAGGGCAGTGTTCTGTAGCTGGTCGTAAGGGAGTTCTTTCCAAGCCTAAAATGAGGGGTGGAGGGGACACTGGCAGTGTCTTTGTTCTACCCTCAGCTCCTCACCCCAGGGCTGAGTAGCCCTTAATGGACTGGGTTGGGGCAACAGGCTTTGTGGGAGTGCAGGAGCTGAGGCTAACTCAGGATAAAGAAGGGAGCGCACAGCCAGCTGCGCCCTCTCTGCCGCTTTCTCCCTCCCCACACTCTCCCTCAGCCTTGTCAGCACAGCTCCAGTCAGGGCAAAGGGCAGCTGGAATGGGTCTCCTGAGCCATCCATGGTGGGTGTATTATTCATGAGCAGGCTGTGTATGCTCAGGTGCCAAGCTGATGGTGGACCATGGGTGGGGGGAGTGCAGTGGTCCTGGCTAACTTGTGCTCCCTTGTCCTGGCCACAGGAGCTGACACGATGAGTGACACGAGTTCTGTAAGCCTGGAGGTGAGCCCCGGAAGCCGGGAGACTTCAGCCACCACACTATCCCCTGGGGCGAGCAGCCGATGCTGGGATGACGGTGATAACCGAAGTGAGCACAGTTACAGCGAGTCAGGCGCCAGCGGCTCGTCCTTTGAAGAGCTAGATCTGGAGGGAGAGGGGCCCTTGGGGGAGCCACGGTTGGAACCTGAGGCCACACCACTGGGGGCCATTTCAGTGCCTCAGAGCCCCCGAGAAGGCTGAGAAGCAGGCTGTGACCTGCATCCTCCTGTTATCGTAGCTAAGGAAGCGAGCAAGCTCTCCAGCCCTCTTCTTCCTTTCCTTCCCCAGATGAATCTGGGGCCCTGAGGGGGTCTGACCTCAACCCCTCAGGCCTCTGCCAAGCCTTTCCCACCTTGCCTGTTTGGCTTGCAGGGCCAAAGGAGCCAGGGACTTACTGGTATCAGCCTCCTGGGCCGCCACCCCTGTGGTCTTTTTTCAGTCTCACATTGGAGCTTCCAGAATCCAGAATAAAACAAATGATTTTCTTGTTTCATCTTGATTTGAGTTGCGTGTGTATATGTTAGTTCTGTGTTGGGGAGCCCTGTGCAGATGGACTGGGAGTGGACTGGAGCCTCCCAAGCACAGGAGAGGAAGGCTCCCTGGGGGGAGGGGAGAGGGAGTATTGCAGGCTCCTCACTTCTGGCTCTGTGACCCCAGTGGACAGCCACCCCAGCAATGCAGTGGGTGTCAGGGCTCCCCTAGGCTGGTGAGAAGCAGAATGAGGAGTGTGGGTCAAGCACAGGGTGCCCGACAGGACTCAGAAGTGGAGAGCTCACAGCTTACCTTTGCTTCCGAGGATGCCTTTATGAGTCCGTGGCTCAAGTGTGCCTGTGCTCATGCTGGGACCTCTCCGGGGGTGGTGGCCACTGCCGCGCAGGCCAGAGCCTTGTAGCTGGGTGTGTGCATCTAGGCACAGACAGAGCTGCTGGTGGTACTCCTGGGTGAGAATGCCCAAGTGAGCATCCAGATGTGATTGTGGCCGGGCCTGGTGACTCCTGCCTGAAATGTATCACTGTGGGAGGCTGAGGGAGGAGGATCACAAGTTCAAGTCCAGCCTGGGGAACTTAGTGACTTAGTAAAACTCTGTCTCCAAACTTTTATTTCGGAAAGGTCTGGGATATAGCTTAGTGCATAGGCTCGGTGTTCAGTGGTCAGTAACACACACACACACACACACACAAGTGCTTGTCACTAGGTGTGGCTGCTTGTGTATGGATGGTTGTGTAGGTTTTGAAGGTGGTGCTGTGCCTTGTGTGTTAAGTGGTATGGGTTGCGTGCTAGGCTGAGAGATGCTGGCTGGAGGGAAGTACCACTGGGAGCTTGTCTGTATATAGTTACCCAGGGCTGAGTACATAGTCATGTGTCCACGTATAAAGACATGCTTTATTGTGTATCTGTGCATAAAGCTGTGGGTCTGCACAGCTGTATGTCCATGATCACAACTGAAGGGGGCATGACTGTGTCGAGATGCTTATGTGTAGCCATGTGTCCCTACGTAGGTACTGCTATCACTGGCTGTGTCCATGTGTACAGCTGTATGTGTATGGCTGTATCTACAGCAGTGTAGGAGAATCCTGTGCTTTTGGGCATTCTGCACATGTGCAGTAATGTATTATGACTGTGTCTTCCCATATAGTTATGTGTCACCTTGTCTGCATGTACAAGTTATGTGTCTAAAACTGGGTGTGTGTTTTTGTGTTTGTGAAATAGTCTTGCTATGAAGTTTAGGCTAGTCTTGAACTCATAATATAGCTCAAACTGACATCAAACTTGCAACGATCCTCCCGCCTGAGCTTCCCAAGTGCTGGAATCACAGGTGTGTACCATCACACCCACCATGGGTGTATGTCCTTGTCTGCGTGTGTCATTGGGAATGGTGCCTATGTGTCTGTGTGCCGTTGTCTGGCTGGCTGCAGCAGACAGTGCAGCTCATCACTGCAAGCTGTGTGAAAGTCTCCCTTTGCTGCTGCTGTGTAGAACCATGTCTGTGTACAAAAGCCTGGCGTCTACTGTGAAGCTGTCTTGGTGAGTGGGCTGAGTGTGTGACTGGGATCAATGTGCAGCTTTTCTCACCTCAGCACCCTCCTGCTGTCAACCCCGCTGCTCCAAAGCCTGGTCCATCGCTCACCTACCCCGGGGAGCAGTTGCTCTGAGCCAGCCAGAGGGTGAGAGCAGTTGGTGGCAGAGCTGGAGCTGGAAGACAGCATGTCTGTCTCCCCAGCTTTGTCTGACAGCTCTGAACCTTCATCCCACTGCCACCGCATCTCCTATTAGTGATCAGTTTTGCATTTGTTTTGAGTTTGATGTGTTTTATTTCAAAGCCATGTTCATCAGAGAGTAGTGGAGCCCATCAAGCTTCCATGTTCAGGGAAAAAGCTGTCCTTGTGATCCTGCGTACATTTGAGTGTGCGCCCCTGAGGAGCCTGGGCCTGGCATTTTCATCAGCACCTCTCTGAGCTGATGCTGCCTCCAATGACACCTGTGGAGAAAAAGGCAGCACCAGGGGAACATGTAGGGATATTACGCCCCTTAGCATTCATTAGTGTGTGTACCTCTGGGGGGCAGACAACCCCAATGTGGGGCTAGATCTGAGCTCAGGTCCTCTTCCCCAGATCCTTCAGCATGGCCTGTCTCTACAATTCATCCACCGCCCCTACCCAGGGTCGTCCTTACCCATCCTGTGGGAGAGGAGTCAAGCGCATCTCAGAGCTGTCCTCCCTCTGCATGGGCTCCAGCACTCACTCCCTCCTACACAGCAGCCAATTCCAGGAGCCTTTCCTCGGCCCCCTCCTCTCCCGTGTCAGCTCAGCAGATCGTTCAGGACCGACCCTAGTGCGTGGTCCTGATGCCTCCAAAGGCTGATAGCTGCAATCAGTGCCCTTGGTGCATTGGAGCAGGCACTTGTGGGGGAGGGGTAGCGGCCTTAAAGGTCATCTGCAGGGAGGAAGGGAGAAGGCTGGTCTCTGATCCCCCCTCCATACCAATCTTTTCCTCTTGTGACTAAGCTAGCTCTCACATAAGCCACAATATGTGGCCTGAGCCGCAGTTGCTGGGTGGAGAGAATGGATGAGGACAGGGACAGACCTGCTGCGACAGGCCAGGGCTCCCCTGAGCTCCCACATGCCGCTTTGACCTATCACCCTGATTTCAGGTCCAGACCCTGGGTCCAGCTCCTGCTCTTACAGATGAGACCTATGGCATTGTGCTCATTCTCTTGGTTCGGTGATCTCCCTGTCCCTGTCCCGTGCCCTTTTCCCGCCGCTTCTCTGGGACGCAGCGTGGGCTGGTTGCAGGGCGAAGGGACCTGCCAGGCACCTGCTTCAGCACAGAGCTGGAGCGCCCAGAGATTCAGAACCACGCGACGGACAGCTCCGGGCCCCCTCGGAGAGTCTGGGGCTGCGACGGGGTCCGGAGGGAGGAGGAGGCTGGGCTGAGAGAGACCAGGAGCTGGGAGGATTGGAGGAGGGGCCGGGGGCGGGGCGGCCGCGATTGAAAGCGGCTAGGCGGGCGGGACGCAGGCTCAGAGCCGGCGAGCGAGCTAGGGAGCGGGATCCGGAGCTCCGCGCCCCTCTTGCTCCACTCCGATTTCTCCGTGTCAGAGCTGGGCGCGCCAGGTAGGGTGAGCCCGTGGGGCTGCGGCCACTTTCGAGCTTCTCGATCCTGACCCCACGCCCTGGGTCCCCACAGGCCCTCGAGTTCTGGGGTACCTGGGCCGGGGCATCCAGACGGCGCTCTGGGAGCTTGGGTAAGCGGGAAGACAGCCTGGGGCGTCCCGCCTTTCTTTCCCCAGAGAACGCATGCTCTGCATCGCGCTCCCCGGGTCTTCCCGCTCCATCGTCCTCTGGTCCTTCTGTCTATGCCTCCGTCTTTGTCTCAGCCACCCAGGCTAGCTTGCCCCCTATCACATTTGATGGCCTTGCACCCTGGCTGCCTACCTCGGGGTTCTGTCCTCTACCAGCATCTGAGCTTCCATCCGGGCCTCCCCTGTGCTCTGCCTCATCTGGGTCCCTGCCCCATCTGTGTTGCTTTTCAGTCCTGCTTCTCTCTCCTGTTAGCCACTTCTTTGGGGTTTCTGCAGGATCCCAGTGTCGTTGCCCGGGCATCAGCGGGAGGTCTGGGGAGCTGAGGGCAAAAAGTGAGGAGCCCAGTCTCTCTGTGGTCAGGACCTGGGGTCCTTGAACTAGCTGCTATCCTCAGCCTCAGTTTCCTTTCTTACTTTGAGGGAAGCTGTATACCCTTCTTCCAGCCTTTCTAAGCTTGTGTGATTGTAAGAGTATGTGTGGCATGCGTGTTTGGGAAGGTAACTGAGGTCCAGATGATGGAAGGTGGGGGGCTGAGGGCCAGGGTCAGAATGGACAGGTCCTTGAGGCTGAGGCAGAGGGGTCCTGAAATGGTGACTTTCTCCGCTGTTTGGAGCGAGGAGGAAACATAAGCTAAAGTCTCAAACTGCACTTACATAGAGCTGGGGAGTCCAGAACGCATCCTCAGCACTGTTAGAAGATTCTGGCCAGAGGCAGTGTCCCCACCCATGACACTTGCATATGTTCACATTTGCTTTCCCTGATGACTTAGAACCTGTAGCCACAGGGTGCCTTCCTTAGGGCCAGCCTCTTTACCTTGCAGCTTCAGGGTTCTTTCATTGGTGACTCTGGAGATGGTCTTTTAAGAACAAGAGGGTAAAACCTTTGGGTGTTCAGTGGGGCTATAGACTTTTTCTCTTCTCTAGTAGACACCTTGACAGCGATGCTTCCTTTCTGAAATCCAAGGCTCAGGATGGGGACTAGGACTCTGAGTTTGTAACTCTGACTTGGCTTCTGCTTCAGGTATTGGCCTGGGGTTCTGTGAGGTTTGTGTAGGGTCTTGGAAACCCTTCAACCTTCACAGGGCTTGGCATTGCTGCAGTCTGCTGTCCTGTGCCTGGGCTTCCACTCTCTGCCTTCCTACCCCTCTGCTGGGTTTGGTAGTTGCATAGGGCCCATCTCCACCCCCGATAAGGGCAAGACTGACAGACGGGGGTGGGAGTGGAAGTTGGCCCAGGAACTTCTCAGCAGAATGATACTCCCCTCTCTGTGGCTCCTGGGCCCCTGGGAAAGGTGTGTGGGGAGCGGCGGAGTTAGAAGGGGAAGCTGGAAAAATGGGCGGCAGCTGCTCTCAGGTTCCACTTTGTCTGTGTGTCTGTGTGTCTGTCTGTCTCTGCAGGAGCTGGGTCCCTTCTCATCTCTCTTCCTGTCTGTCCTTTTCTGGTCCCTATCCCCCTCCTCTTTTTGCCTTCACTGCTTCTACCCTCATCCCCTGGAGACCCAGATCTGCTGGACCCATCTATCCCCTTTGGGGCCATGGGATCGCTGCTTGGGCTCCTGGCACTGCTGTTGCTGCGGGGTGCTGTGGCTGAGGGCCCAGCCAAGAAGGTGCTAACCCTGGAGGGTGACCTGGTACTGGGTGGGCTGTTCCCGGTGCACCAGAAGGGTGGCCCAGCAGAGGAATGTGGTCCTGTCAATG